CCGCCTATGTCCGCCTATGTCCGCCTATGTCCGCCTATGTCCTGTCCTTTTTGGATTCTATGAGACAAGCGGACATAGACGGACGTGACACCCCCCCCCTCTACTCAGCCGAATACTCGAGAAATCGGGTGTGAGGGTTAAATGAGGAGCTGCACATTGCAGCAAAGTCTCGGGCGAAGAAAGTATGGTACACACTACCTTAACCGTCACTGGCTAAAAACAAATCCTTCGGCTTCCTGTAATTGGCTGGTTGCACTTGTGTAACAATATGGCTGTTGGAATACTCCGAAGTAAAATAAGTGTCTAGATATTCACGTTTTACCAATTCTATTCACATGGATCCATCGCACATTCCATTCTCTCTATATTTTAACTGATAAGGACTATCACAGATGATCCTTCCTGCTTGTTTATATCGTTCTTCTTACATGGAATGTGCGATGCATCATGGTGAATAGAATTGGTAAAACATAAATAAATCGGTGGTTTTTTAATTTTTTTACCCAGGATTTTTTTTGGTGGTTTCTTTTAACCAATGTAAACAGTTCTGGGTGAGAAATTAAAGCTAGCACACTCAGGAGCTAATTTTGTCAGACAAGCTCAGACTCACACAAAACTTAGCACGAAGTTGTGTCTAATTATGATTGACATTCTCTAAAAATTTGAAGCAAAAATATTAATCAGAACGTAAGTTATGGCGCTTTTCCATTCTGAAATAAAATAATTAGCAAGATCTCAGCGACCTGTAACAATTTTAAGAGATAAGGATGGGTAGACTTTCATGGGCCACCCTGTAGGTCTGATGTTAGATGTAGAACAGTTAACCGCCAACTGTGGTATATCAAAAAAACCATGTTTGTACGCGTGCGCGCGCGTACTTAACCACCTGGTATGGCACAGCATTGAGATATCACCATAATTCCAAAAGCAGAGGACACCATCCAGGTGCCTAAAACTTTTGGCAATGGTCCCAATACCATAAAACCTTAGATGTGGCCTCAATGTGGTTAAAACATGTTTATTTTGGACCTTCGGTCAACAGAAGCCATCAAAAATTAACCATTATTCAGCGACCTCCGAACTTTTGGTGCCTTATTTTGTTTTGATATTTGATTATGAGAGATAGCTGAAGGACAATAAGTGATTTTAAAGATAATGCAACAGAATGTGTGGCCATATGGCGGTTAAAACGACCAAAAACACTGATTTAGGTCAATTTTAGACCTTTATTAACCACGCTGGACGCAACAAAGGACTCAGCAATGTTTCTGTGCATATAAATGAACGGGTAGTTATATCTAGATAATGCAGCATGGCCAGCTATAGCTTTACAAAGCTAATATGTGCTCTAAAAATGGTTAATTAGTGCAAATATAGGGTATGTTCAACAGCCTAGCAAGTCATATAGCCCTTTTAATAATAATAATAATAAAATTTGGTAGCTTAAACACAAACTCTAAGCCCAGTGGATAAACCACAAAACTTATGCTCTATTGTGTGAAACAAAGATACTAGATCAAGATAACTATCAAGGAGTGTATGCATAGGACATAAAAAGTTTTGGAACGAAGATGACATGCTTGTGAAGCGAGCTAACAGTCTAATTGCTAATAAGTTCAAAAAGATCATGACATTAGGTTGCATCCTAAACAGTTTAAGCAAATAACATAAAGTTATTATATTGTCGATTAATCGCTCATGCCATAACTTTTCTTAAACAGGTGAGTTTTTAATAATGTTTTGAACAGATCAACATTGGAACAAGTCTTAATTTCAATTGGTAGTTGGTTCCAGATTTTCGGAGCAACAGTCTGAAACGCTCTTGGGTGTGATCTTGTAGATCCGACGGGTAGGTGTAAGGAGGAAGTTCTTCTGCTACTCGAACTAACAAATGTTACTAGATCAGATTATTTAACCACTTTTATGACAACATTTCTTGATAACTTTTATCAAAACCCTTCAAATGTCCTTTGTTGACGAGAAAAAGTTGACTAAAATCATTAATAATGTTTTGATTGGTGGTTAACAAAAAATGTTGACGTTTTAACCATCTTTTTAGCACTTTTTACGAATATTAACCACCTAAAATCAACCATACTATTAAATTGCACATTTGTGATGAAAAATTTTCATCCATGTACAAATGAACATCTATAATCAGAGCAATATTTATTGCTCATCGTTCATTTTCCATTTAACCACCATTAGGACAACAAAATGCCCCCAATGAGGTTTTAAAACTTTTGTAATAGTTGCACCATGGGATGATCTCAATATAATGACTACTCAGTTCATAATATCATATCTCAAAATGGTGGTTAACCCTAAAACTGGTATTTAACCACCATAGTGGCCAGTGGCCACATAGAGGATTCATTAACCACAATTATTCAACATAACTGTACTGCAGTGTTTTGTGCACCAGAAAAACATCACTCCAACATTGAGATTAACCACAATAAGCTGCAATATCATGTTGAAGTCAACATACTCAAATTGTGTGAAAAAAGTCTATGTCCACCAAGTTTCCCCAGATTTGCTGCTATTGCTGCTCAGTAATTAGTAATATTAGCAACATACTTAGTAATTAGTAACATTAGCAACATACTTAGTAATTACTAATTAGTAACATTATAAACATACTTAGTAATTAGTAACATTAGCAACATACTTAGTAATTAGTAACATTAGCAACATACTTAGTAATTAGTAACATTAGCAACATACTTAGTAATTAATAACATTAGCAACATACTTAGTAATTAGAAACATTAGCAACATACTTAGTAATTAGTAACATTAGCAACATACTTAGTAATTAGTAACATTAGCAACATACTTAGATGTGTAATTTACTTAGCAATGAGTTAGTTTTTAACGTGAGGCTATTTTGATGACAAATGAGGTGCTGAACATTAGTTACACCAGAGAAAAATGAATAATTTATGATGCAGTAATGTGGGCACACTGAGTATTGAGTAACCGTGTTTTTTTGGGTATTGCATAAAAGTTAAAATATTTCCAACTGTATTTGTTAAGATAGTTGAAATTCTGAAGCCACAAGACAAATTGTTCCCAGTACCAAATGGAATTTCATTCTTTCTGCTCATATCGATTAAATATTACCTATATTATTAGGTTATGAGAGGTTAATAGGAAAATTAAATTACCGTCTAGAGAAAAGTAACGAGACATTTTCAGATAGTATTATAGACTAAATATGGAATGTCAAGGCAAAAACCAGAGGAGTTTTTGAAATTCGCGAATTATGAACAGAACAGAACAGAACAGAACAGAACAGAACAGAACAGAACAGAACAGAACATCACTTTAATGCTGTGCAGGATAAAAATAAGTCAGAAGTTAATCCAGTTCTAGTATAAAAACCTTCTACGGCCTAAACTATAGATATATGATAACGATATGATAATACAGAAATTAAATTAAAATTAGGTATCAATTTTAATATTGTAAAATTATTTTAAAAACCCTTTGTCAGCATTGAATATATTATTAGGCATAACATATATGATATAAGTTTATGGTAAATATTAGTGTTATATTTTTCAAAACAAAATGATCGCGAGAATAATTTATCGATATATTTTGCATAATTTGAAACGTTTATGTTTTTAGAAAGGACCACTTGGGAGCCTACAATGATATTTAAACAGGATCCTGTTGCAGGATATTTATATGTGAGAGCAGATAAAGCATCTGCATTTTGCAGTGTAGTTAAACTATCTGCAGCTCAGGCATTTGCAATACAGTTAGAACATCGGCAGCTAATTTATCTGAAGTGTAGTTAAAGACTATCTGCAGTTAAATTTGCTGAAGTGCATTTAGACTGTCTGCATAGTTAAATTACATCAAACGTCTGATCGACGACAAAGTCACCAGACAGAATCAGGAAACCCGGTTAACTGATGGTTCCAGACACACCAAAATGACACTCGGCCACAAACACGTCAACATCATCAAAAATCTTAACAAGTCTACATTCAGCAACAACAGACAAAATTACAGAACTGCCGTGCACCTTATGACGGGACACTGGGGCTTAAACATACACCTCCACACCATTCGCAAATCAAGCACCAGTGCTTGTCCGATCCTATGTGCGGCAACGAAGAGGAGACAGTCTCACACTTTCTTGGACAGTGCCCAGCTATTGCCCAAATAAGAGGGCAATATTTCCAGGACTATTACCTCTCCGTCAATGACATATTTGACAACCAGCACATCTCCACTATTGTCAATTTCGCAAACCGAACCAGAGGAGCTGGACCAGACCGGTGTGACATAGAGACAACTCACACGTTGTCTTAGCTCATTTTTCTTTTCTACAGCTGGCACTTAAGTGTTTATTTATGACTTATCTCCCCTCACAACACCATCCTCCACTATACACTCTGATTTCTCCGGCAACCTCCCCCAGGGTTGCCATACCCCAGAGGCAGGCAGAGCATCCCCATGCTATCCTCTTATGGGCCATCCAGGCCCAGCCTCTCTTTTTTTTAAATAGTTTAATAATTGCACGACGTGATAGTCACCCCTTGTATAGTAGTCCAAATTTACCATCCTCAATCCTCATTTGCTTGAATTCATTCCTTAAAACACATTTTTTTGCACCATCTTTGAGATATATTACTGTAAGCATATTTTTAAAATTTCAGGACTTTGACCCCTAATTTGGGACAACAAATCTTGCTGGATTTATCATTTCACATTGCTGGATTTCAATCCTTAAGGCATATTTCCTGGAATATTTCCGAGAGAATACAATATATGCATCCCTTTTTTGAACCACACTTATTTCACAAGAGCTGCTGGCAGTCCCTATTTCCTAATATACACTTAAAATTGCATAATTATCTGAATGATTCTTGAATATGTGTTTAAAAAAGATCTCTATTGCCGATGATACATTTGGAGCTCAAATAGCAGAAAAACAAAATTGTATTAGTAATCATCAACAAAATTGTAAATAATGGACATACCTTTTCCTGGCCATTGGATACATCTTCCTCTGTGTCATTCTCTGGCTCATCTTTTGTTTTTTGTCGTTTTGCGGATACCTCTTTCTCAGCTTCATTTTCTGGTTCCTCTTCTGTCTTTTGTCTCTTTGCTGAAAGCTCCTCAACTGCTGCCATGATTCTTGTTTGCTATTGATTTTGCATTATTAGCATCTAATAATTAGTTCAAATAATTTATAATCATTTAATAATAAATAATAATAAAATTTGGTAGCTTAAACACAAAATCTAAGCCCAGTGGATAAACCACAAAACTTATGGTCTATTGTGTGAAACAAAGATACTAGATCAAGATAACTATCAAGGAGTGTATACATAGCACATAAAAAGTTTTGGAACGAAGATTACAATACAGATCTATCTCATCGACATGTGGTCGCAACACGGATGCCAAGTTATGTATAGATATATTAATAATTCCAGTACTAAAACCCAAGTAAATATGATAAGTATAGTAAACTAGGAAGGAAATCTCATTTATGCTGGATTAAAATGACCTGAGCACATTCTCTGTATAGTAGAACATTTTAAAGTACAGTCATTATGTAACTGTACCCTGAACATGACATTCACAAGTTTCATTGTAGGACACTGCCACCATGGCCATGAACACAGCAAGCCTTTCACTCTGATACATGGGCGCTTGTGAGATGTTACTGGCGGTTCACCTGGGACAGCTTTTGAGCCCCCCACCAGGCCCCCTTCTCTGCTGAGTCCCCTTGATGGGCGGAGCAGTAACGGTCTAGGCAGTGGCGTAACGAAGGACCATGCTGACCTTGCTGTGCAGGGAGTGCCATCTTAGGGTGTTGCCAAATCATCGTTTGATTAAGTACTAGCAAAACTTTTACCGATGTAACCTCTAAATCACCTAATTTGTCCAATTTACCCTTTCTATTTTAAGAGAAGTGTTGCCAAAAGGGGGCGCTTTTTGGGGCAGGGGGCACAAAGGTGCAACATTACGCTACCAGGTCGACGGCTTCAATTGTGTCCAAGCTTTGTGCATCATGCTTGTCCTGTTTGCCTTGATAGTAGTCCATTGAAGCTGAACACAAGTTAAATGAGCTTCATCTCCAACTGTAAAGCGAAACAGTCTCACCAGTATAAATAAGCTCTTTTTATGGGCAATAGCTGTAGTACAAGATCAACTTGTGATGAAAGTTGCTACGTTTGAAACAGATGTAGCAGATTATAAAATGAAGAGGAACAAAGACGAAACCATGCATACAGACGGATGCAGCGCAGTAGAATGAAAAGTTGCATACCCTCAAGGAATTAATGGATGAGAATGGTATGCTGAAATGGTATGCTGAAAATCTGGATAGAGAATAACAAAGAACTTTCAAACTGTAAACTTTTAATAAAACATTTTATAATATAAGTAAAGGACATAAAAGGCTTCAGAATTGTGTAAGCTTTTCAAATATGTAAATGAGGAGTAGCCGGATACTAAGAAGACACCATATAAAAATCAAATTGTAAACGTCTATTCAACTAATTATTTAACTCAAAATTACCAATTCTTCTGGAACGATGGGTGAGTAATTAATAATATATGTGACAGAACTAATATGTAAAATCTGGATTGGAGTATTATTTATGAGTCGCATATAGGAAATGTTTTCTTGGGTAAATTTCTTTTGAACCCGCTTGATGCGACAAGAAAAAGGCTTTTAAAAAACAAAACTAGTACATTGAATTCAAAACGTCAAAAGGAATATTCAAACAATATACACATACACATAATATAGCAATGACCCTATATACAAATTCTGTAAAAATGGTACAAATTTAAAAACTGAGGTAAAAATAAAACCCTTTGTAATAATATATATAAAATCCACTAAATCACATCACAACAAAAAACAGTTTAGACCCCCATCCAACAAGCACTCCATGACCTTTTAGGGTTTCAGAATGTTGATCAGGTTAAGGTCCAAATCACTTATTGCCGTGGGTGGAAGGGTTCTGGTACCTCTGTACCCCCTGATAGAGATTATACAGGTTCTGAGTAGATCAAAACGCAGTCTGCGTCTGACAAATGACATCACATCACAATGGATTCAATCTAGCTTGAGTGTCAAACAATAGCGCTCGATTTTAAAGCACTTATAGTAACTTGATAAAAAATATGCGCGTGAGGCGACATCTATGATTTAAACTGTAGACACTGCAACTATTGTCAATTTTGTTTTGCTTTGCAATACTCTTCTGCATTGGTTGGCCATTGTTAATGGTCTGGCCTGGCGCGCGCTACTTTGTAGCACTTGCCATCGGGCAAAAAGAAGAAAGCGGCGCGCGCTACTTCGAAGAAATTTAGACGAGTACCATCCGTCGCGTCAACTGCATTGGCCATCAGTTCATAAATATCAAGAAAACAACAATTTTTTCAAGAAAACAGAAAAAAACACAAAAAAAACACAAAAAAACACAAAAAAAAATATCACAATACATCCAATACATTTTATATCACTTGCACTTATAAAGTTAAATTAAGGAATACAAAATTTTTAAGAAAAACAAATTCAAAATTATATCAAAGAAATATTGTTTTATTGTTTATGTGTATTATTGTTGATGTCGACGTTTGCTTTATTATTTATTTATTACGGCTAAATATTAACACCGCACTTGTTTCCCTCGCGAGCTTTGATCGCCTTTCATTTTACTGGGCGGCCCTTTACTTAGCTTCATTTCTGCCTGTAATTCCGTCGAATTTCTATGTTTATAAACATTATTATATAGCCTGCATGGGCAATGGGGTCCCCAGGTAACTCTCGAGAGAAAATTTTACACGAGCGAGCTGAGCTCGAGATCTCGAGCTCAGCTCGCTCGTGTAAAATTTTGTCTTCCTTAGTAAATTTTGATTCTTATAATAAAATATTATTATATTATATAATTTTACTATTGTATAACCATGGTTACTACTTTTGTATTATATTTTACCTTACCTGGGGACCTCAGGCTATCATGTTCTTGACATACGTTGCATGCCAATTTTCGCGCGCGAAGCGCGCGCCGCCGAATATTTCTGATATTTGGATACGAAACATGTATCAATCATGTTCATAAACATGAATAGAGATTAGGCGGAATGACAGGCTGAGCGCGGCCCAGTAACCAGAAAATTATTGCTTGTGTTGTTTGAAATATCCTAGCTAAATCAAAAATCTAGAATCAAATTTTACAAATTACGATTCAGATTATGTGTATCCATTCCTGCGTTAATAGGTTAAAATCTCTTCCATCACAATAATTGCAAATCGGCTAATCATGAACGTTTTGGAGGTCCATTTACTGCATCCCAGCATCCTAATTTTGTTGGAACACATTTTCAAGTCAACCTGTTAGATTCTGCTTTTTATATTAACCTTATTTGATTTCGTTGATAGTTAAATTGCTGCAGGTCACTACTATACAAGAAGAGTTTCTAATTTTTTGTTAACTTTTTTTGTCTAAACATATCATCAAAAAAATCATATTGCATCATCAATCATGAAAAGAAAAGGTGTTACAATGCAAGGGTTCTGGAAGTAGAGAAAGGAAGCTTCACGCCGTTAGTTTTATCAACATCTGGTCGAATGGGTGGTGAAGCTGAAAGACTAGTAAAGAAGCTTGCTAGCAAGATGGAATACCACACAGGGCAAAGGTATTCAGATGCTGTTGGATACATAAGGAAGCGCCTTCCTTTCGAAATCCTAAGAACAACAGTGATTTCTCTACGGGGCCGACAGTAAAGTAACGTAAAGTAAAGTAAAGTAAAATTTATGACATCACATCGTCACACATGTCTACAAACTATCATCGCACTGTGTGAAAAAATATATAATAAATATTTCCCCACCAACATTAATTAATTATCAAATACAATATTTAAAAACAATTTCATCAAAAACATTATCCTATTTTAAAAACTTCCCAGTGGAATAAAGATTTATAAAACGCTTCTTTGCCACATAAGGATGGAACCAAAGATAATTGTTATGTTTCTCTTTATTACTGACATAACTGGCTCCCTCAATTCTTACTAAAACTTCATTAGAAACATTCCAAAAAAAGCAATCATTTGTAATACTTTTAGAAATCATATCTACCTGTAAGCTAGGGGGCTACGTGATAATGACCCACAACAACATCAGAGACACAATGGCAAATCTACTTCGTGAGGTATGTCATGATGTAAAAGTTGAACCCCAGCTACAGAAGGTGAATGAGGGTGACTGCCTCAACCCCAAGACTATAACAGGTGACCAAGCTCGGCTTGATGTATCTGCTAGAGGAGTTTGGACTCCATTTGATAAGACCTTTCTTGACATAAGGGTTTCACACCCCAATTGCTTATCAAACAGGACAAAAACTCTTCAAGAAGTATACGAAGAGAACGAGAAAGAGAAGAAGGACGAGTACTTGGAGAGAGTGTTGAATGTGGAGAAGGCTACCTTCACCCCGGCTGTATTCCTCACATCTGGAGGAATGTCTAAAGAGTGTAAGCAGTTCGTCAACAGAGTAGCAGACCTCATTGCAAGAAAAAGGAAGGAAAGGTACTGCGATGTAGTAAGACACGTGAGAACTAGGATAAGATTTGCAATGTTGAGAACAACTCTTATTGCTCTACGAGGGTACCGAGGAAAGAAGGTGGACACCAAACGTGAGATTCAGCTATCAGAAGTTTCATACAACCTCATCCCTGCCCCTATAATGGAGTAGATCATGTGTTTTGTTAAAATGTTTTTGAAAAAATTATTAGTAGCAATGAATTGTGCTCTGCCAATTGCAACACTTAAAATTTTATTGTGCTCTGCCAATTGCATCACTTGATTTAATTGAATGTATATATATACTGTTTGACATATTTTTCTTTTTCTCAAAAAAAAAAAAAAAAATCTTATATCCTTCTAATTTAATTTTAAAACCTAAAACTGTCACAGAGTTCTTGACGTCCGGAGGGAGTTTGTTCCAATATGGAATAACTCGCTCCGGGAGAAAAGACTTCTGGATATTTTTGACCTTTGTCACACTTTTACTACATCTATTGGATGAAACCAGATTAAGACCTGATCTGCTTGGTCTGAAAAAGTCTGAACCATAATCAGTCATACCATTAATAACCTTAAAAGCTTCAATAAGG